ATATTTGGAATGTTGTCAAGCCGCTTGTGTAGTCTATTTGGGCCTTAACGCTATTTGCAAACCTTTGTTTACATTTAAGCTTTAAAAAACTTGTTTGACAACACTGGTTTTAAGTCAAGTTTTTTTTAATATAGTGATGCCAGATATATTAATATATTTAGTATTACCACAATAACATTTGATAAAAATCTATAACACATTTTTGTAAAACAATTATTTACCTTTTGTCTTGTTATTAGTTGCTTTCGATTTCTTTTTTTTTATCGGCTAGGTCGCCCCCCTTTTATTAACAAAGAAGAAATCCAAAATATGCATTCATTGTTTATCAGACGTGTTTTTTTGTTGAAGTTTTTAAATGGCGTTTATCCATTGGCGCCATCACTTGATTATTTTCCAGCGATTTCAAGTTTTGATTTGTTTATTTAGTTGTCTATAGACAAATATTAACGTTTATTTGTTGTAATCATTATAACTGTTATTATCCCGCATTAATCAATCATTTTACAATGTGATTAACACAAATTATTTACTTTAAATGCAATAGAATCAAACAAATATTGTTACGAGTACCTATGTTATGTTACATAAAATGCATTTTAATGATAACGGAAATTCACAAAATTAAAGGTGCTTTTTTTGTGTTACAATTATGTTTGTTTATTTGTGGTTTTATTGTGTTCACACTTGAAAATAATGAAATACATAAATGTTTTGTTATAAACCTATGTTTTGTAATTTGATATTTTCATTATTTAAATAAGTTTTTAACACCTTGAAAATGATTCTTTTAGAGATAACTACTAACTAATGCAATTTTTATTTAAAAATTAATAAATTTTATAAATTAGTTTAAAAAAATATACAAATTGCAGCGTTATTATTTACATATGGCAATACCCTTTTATAAACCGCAATGTAAACAATAAATTTGTTATTGTAACTCAGAGGAAGAGAATGTAAACAAAGCTGAGTAATTGCAATGTCATCTATTGTAAAACAAATAAGCATAGAAATTCTTAAAAATTTAACTAAAAATCTTCAAAATTTGTTCAAAATTATGGGAATTTTTGACAAATTGCATAATCATTGTTAATTCTAAAAGAATTTCTTTTAAATTCCTAAATAATCGATTATTTTTCGACAAATTACATACAGCAAACAGAGTCCACAATTAATGCAATTTCAAAAAATTTTATCTTCA